CAACCCCTTCGGACATCACGACAGAGGCGAGGAGATTCCGGCTGCTGAGGCCCGCTGGAAGTCCTCTTTCCTTGTCGATATTGCAGAATTCTCCGGCGGGCTCGAGGCGTCGGATTTCTTGGATTGGATGGCTGCGGTCGAGTCCGCTCTCGACTTTAAGGAGGTGCTGGAGAATTCAAGGGTCGAGCTCGTGGCAACCCATTTCCGGGATCGGGCTACCGCATGGTGGAGCCAGCTTAAGGCGGCCCGTCAGGGCAAAGAAAAAATCACTGACTGGGCTAAATTCTGCAAATACTTGGACCGTGAGTTTCTCCCGTACAATTATATGCGTTCTTTGTTCATGCAATTTCAGAACATACGACAGGGGTCCCGTACTGTTAATGATTACACTGAGAGTTTTTATCGCCTCCTCACGCGATTGGATGTTCGTGAAACGGATGATCAACTTGTCTCCCGATACATTGGCGGTCTTCGTTTGTCTATACATGAGACTCTTATTTTGTTTTCCCCATAATCGGTTTCCGATGCCCATCAGCGGGCCCTTGTGATTGAACAGCAACTAGCCCGGCGAGCATCACCGGCATTTTTTCCTGCCCATTCGAGCCAACCAGGTGCAGCAGCGGGGCATTTAAAGACCTTGGCGATCGGCGGTAGTACACCCGCAGCAGGTACTATCATTGGTCGGGGTACGGTGACGCAACCTGGAGGGCCCTCTACGTCGCTCATCGTCCAGGGGTCGTCCGTCCAGCAGCCGACCGGGCCTCGTCCGACGGGCGGGCTTCGTTGTTTTTCTTGCGGCGAAATGGGACACCAACAATCGGCATGTCCTCATTACAGCGGTGGACGGGCTCTTTTGGCGGAGGATGTTAGTGAACAGGTGGATGGTGGGTTGTATGAGACTCCTCCTATTTTTGATGAAGAACCTACCATCACAGAGGAACATTGGTCTGGAGATGTGGGGCAGGCTCTTGTGTTACGAAGATCGTGTTTGACTCCTCGTGGCAGGCCCATTGAATCGGTTCAGAAGCATCACATATTTGAGTCGACGTGTACAGTGGAGGGTAAAGTGTGCCGTTTTATTATCGACTAGGGCTCGTGTGAAAACGTAATGGCTAAGAATGTTGTGCACAAGCTTAACCTGACAACTGAGCCGCACCTGAACCCGTATACTCTCGCGTGGATACAAAAGGATAGTGCCATTTGGGTTAACCGTTGTGTGTTGGTGTCTTTCTCTATTGGGCCCTGATATAGAGACTCGCTTTGGTGCGACGTTGTGCCCATGGATGCATGTCACCTCCTGTTGGGCCGACCATGGAAATTCGATCGTTCGGTCACCAACGACGGTCGTTTGAACACTTATAGCTTCATGGTTGAGGGGGTTAGAGTTGTTCTTCATCCTTCACCACTTCGACCTTTGCATGCTCCCGACCCTTCGCCGATTTTATTCCTTTCACGGTCTGCGTTCGACGAGGAGATGCGTACGACACCTTTTATTCTCTTCGTATGGGGCACGAATTTATCTTCTGGACAGCCCCCTCCGCCAGCTGTCCTTCAGTTACTGGAGGAGTTTGCCGACGTATTTCTCGAGGATCTACCGCCAGGTGTACCTCCTCTTCGGGATATTCAGCATCAAATTGACCTTGTTCCCGGTGCTTCTCTTCCTAACCGCCCTCATTATCGGATGAGTCCCGTGGAGCATGACGAGCTTCGTCGCCAAGTGAAGGAACTATTACAACGTGGCGTGGTTCGTCGTAGCCTGAGTCCCTGTGCTGTGCCTGCACTGCTTATCCCGAAGAAAGATAGTTCTTGGAGGATGTGCGTGGATAGTCGGGCGATTAACAAGATCACCGTCCGTTACCGCTTTCCTATTCCCCGCCTTGATGACTTATTAGATCAGTTGCACGGTGCTTCCATTTTTACGAAGCTCGACCTACGTAGCGGTTACCATCAGATCCGTATCAGACCGGATGATGAGTGGAAGACGACCTTTAAAATTCGGGAGGGGTTATACGAGTGGATGGTTATGCCTTTCGGTTTGTCCAATGCACCTAGTACATTCATGCGGGTGATGAACCAAACACTCCGGGACCTTATTGGTAAGTGTGTTGTCATATATTTCGATGATATTCTTATTTATAGCTGTACTCTTGAGGATCATTTGCTGCATTTGCGTGTTGTCTTGCTTATTCTTCGCACTGAGTCTTTTTATGCGGCCCCTCAGAAGTGTGTTTTCTTGGTGGATTCGGTGTTGTTTTTGGGGTTTGTTATTTCTGCTGCAGGTGTTCGCGTGGATGAGAGTGAGGTGGCGGCCATTCGTGACTGGCCCACTCCTACCTCGTTCACGGAGGCCCGGAGTTTCCATGGACTGGCGTCCTTTTATAGATGGTTTATTGCCCATTTCAGTTCTATTGTGGCCCCCATTACAGACTGTCTTACTGGGAAGTCCTTTATTTGGACTCCTCAAGCAACTGAGGCTTTTGTTCTTATTAAGAAGAAACTCACATCGACTCCCGTGCTCGTTCTTCCCGATTTCTCGCGACCTTTTGAGCTCTCTGCTGATGCTTCTAAGGTTGGTATTGGCAAAGTGTTGAGCCAGGAGGCACGCCCAGTGGCCTTTTTCAGTGAAAAGTTATATGGTCTGCGTCTTCGTTATAGTACTTACAACGTGGAGTTCTATGCGGTGGTACGGGCCGCTCGTTACTGGCGCCATTATTTGTTTCATAGGGAGTTTGTGTTGTTCACTGATCACGAGGCCTTACGTCATCTCGCCTCCCAGGACAATATCTCCGCTCGCCATGCCTCGTGGACTGCATTCCTCCAGCAGTTCACCTTTGTTTTGAAGCATCGTTCAGGTACGTCTAATCGAGTGGCTGATGCTTTGAGTCGTCGTACGCTGGTTTTGACTGATATGCGAGTTGCAGTGGTGGGGTTTGATTTGCTTTTGGAGACCTATGCGACTGACCCTGTTTTCGGGCCTATCTGGGTCCGTCTGTCGTCTGGCCCTTTTGACGATTATGTGCTCACTGACGGATTTATTTTTCAGGGTGTTCGGTTGTGCGTGCCAGATTGTAGTCTTCGTTTGAAATTGGTTGATGAGCTCCATGGGGCGGGGCACGTGGGTCGTGATCGTTCGGTGGAGCTTGTCCAGCGATATTATTTTTGGCTAACTGTGCGGAGGGATGTCACTCGATTTTTTGCTCGTTGCCGTGTTTGCCAAATTTCGAAGAGGGGGGGGGGCTTCGAATGCGGGTCTTTATCGACCTCTGCCTATTCCGTCTCAGCCATGGTCTGCCATTAGTATGGATTTTGTGCTCGGCCTGCCTCTTACTCAGCGAGGTTTTGATTCTATTTTTATGGTGGTCGATCGTTTCTCCATGATGATGCATTTTATACTGTGCAAACGCATGACCAATGCTGTTCTCGTTGCTCAGTTATTCTTTCGTGAAGTGTACCGTCTGCATGGACTTCCGACATCTATTGTGTCGGATCGTGATACTCGCTACCTTAGCTACTTCTGGCGTAGCTTGTGGCGCCAGGCTAACACTCGATTGGACTTCAGCAGCGCGTACCATCCTCAGACTGACGGCCAGACCGAGGTCGTCAATCGGCCCTGGGTAATCTTTTACGCTGCTTAATGGGGGAGAACTTACGTAGCTGGGACCAGTGCCTCAGTCAGGCCGAGTTTGCTCACAATTCCGCTGTGAATCGGTCTACGCACCTGTCACCTTTCTGGATTGTATACGCGATCGAGCCCCGGGGTCTGTCGGATTTGGTAGCTTTGCCGGCGTCTGCTTCTCTTGACCGTCGTGCTGAGGATTTTATTTCGGCTTTGAGGCGCACGCACGAGGTGACGAAGGCCACGTTAGAGGCCTCCACCGCCGCTTACAAGCGGAGGGCCGATGCACGCCGCCGCCATGTGGAGTTCGAGGTTGGCGATTTTGTGTGGGCAGTCTTGACTAAGGACTGTTTTTCGGCTCATGAGTATAATAAATTATCTACTCGAAAAATTGGCCCCGTCGAGATTGTTGAGAATATTAATCCAAATGCGTATCGCCTCCGTTTACCGTCGCATGTCCGTACATCCGATGTTTTCAACGTCTCTGGTCCCTTTTCTTCGGGACAATTCTGAGGACGAGATTTTGCAGGATTCGAGGGCGAATCCTTCCCAACCGGGAGAGGATGATGAGGACGAGATTGCACTGGCATTTCTTGACCGACATGATCAATTGGCGCCTCTCGTCTAAGCTATTTTGGGATTATTTTTATTATTATTATTATCTCTTCTTTTATGTTAAAATAAATAAGTAGCTATTTAATTTATTTTCCTACTTATCTCTTGGTTATTTTTGGGAGGGTTTGAATGTAGTAGGACTCTTGCTCTTTCTTTAAAACTGATGTATGCTAGCAGTAGCAGGCAGATTGAAGAAAATTAATGAAACTTTTATCGTTCGATTATATTAGCTCCTCTCGTTGTGCTTTCGTCTGCGTCACTCATGCTCTCCAAATCAGGTTGTTATTTCTACAGTTGAAGTTGGACCCTATGGAGGTTCTTTTGTCTTATGCAACAACAATAGTATCATTTTTTTTTCTGCATTCAGAGTGTTAAAATATTAGCAAAATTGATCTTCATTTTTCTTCTATAATTTTGCTTTCTTCGCTCCCATTGGAAGTTGAGGTTGTTCCACCAACGCCATCGTCACTTTGTTAATGACTGAAAAATGACAATCCCGAAGACCTGGTGTTGGTTGTCTATCATATAGAACGTCGAACTTAGAAGAGTTATTGAGTGTACCGAAATCCAAACGACAAGATCATGGTTGGGAGACATAATCATCAGATTTTACAAACTCTTTGAATAATCGGAATACATGCTGGAACTTGAAGCCTTCTTTATATTTTGGTCTTGTTTAAACAATCATTCGGCTTGCTCAATCTACAAAGTTAAAATATATAATTGTATTATAACTATAAAACAAGCAAATATGATGAACTGAGATTGAACTTAAATCAAAATACTCACCTTATCTTGGATTTGTGTCCCACTAGGATTGCGATATTCGATCTACTTCAAGCATCCATTAAACCTCCAACAATGAGTTTCCATGAGACGGTAACGGGAGTTAAAAAATATTCTAGAGGGCTCTGATAAATCCTTGTGGTTTTTGGTGTTGTATTCATCATGTAAAATTTTCCATTAAGTTGAAGTACTGTGGTCATTTGATGATATTGGATTTTTTTAAATTCTTATGTAACATCTCATGATTAAGCATCTCCAGTTTGGAATATTCTGGCCTCGTAACAACAAATTTTGTGAATTTCTCGAATCAAAAAAAATATTGTGGATTACAATCTCTATTTTCTCCTCCGATTCTTCTCATAAATGATATTAAGTCTTGGAGCGAAATCTTATGCATGATCTTCTCCTTGACTTGATTTCACTTGAATTAATGTTAATCCAGGGGTCAACGCCTTAATTTCAAATGAAACGCCGTAATATCTCAAGAACATAAAGAACATGAGTCTTTGGTCTTCACCGCAAAGTCGATCTTGGATCTTCTCTGCCACAGGTTTGAGTTTACAAACGTAATTCAGGGGCTCGACAGCTTGTTTCTGGATTAAACGCCAGTATTGAGATTGAATGCGATTAAATCTTGCTTTGAATCTTTAAGAATGCCTTTGAAACTTCAAGAACACTTGATTCTCGTCGAGAGAATCTCTAAAGCTCTTAAACTTGAATATAAATTGTGATGTGCAATTTTGGCCTTAGGAAGAGTCACTATTATAGGTGTAGGAGAGAGAATCCTACATATTTAAGAATTGTAAGACGCAATTGGATTGGTCCATGGTGTAGACAAGTTAGCTTGGTGGGAACAATTTATTATTAATATTATTATATAATTATATTTATTAGCTTCGAGAATAGGTTAGGTTTCAATATTGGGAGCCTTATATAAAGGATTCTTATGCTTTATTGTTGGGGGGTGGATTTTGAATAAAATATGAATTCAATCGTGTTTAGATGTTTTTGAAATTGCGATCTCATTAACATCGTCCCACTCGTATGCTTCCTTACATCAGTTGGAATCAAAAGTCAGGACGATTCAAGATGCAGTCGAGAAAAGACGACATCAACATGCGTCATGCCGCCATTGAGCATCCGGATCGACAAGCCAAGGGCTTCGACCGCCAGATCAATCAATTGGATCGTCAGGTTGAAGATCATTCGAATTGAGTCAAATAAGTGCGTCTTACGATCAACAACATGGTTGAGGATTTGCAGACGAACTGTGGTGCCGACAACCATGGCGTGCGCAGGGGAGTTCGCAGAGGACGTGGAAGTTGTGATCCAGGCGGGGCGCCCCGCCGAAGATCCCCACAACTAACATTTGACGACAAAGACGGTGAGGAGACAATCTCATGTGAACCCCATCGACAATTATCAACCTCCGCACGTTGAGTTTGAGCCCTTGGGATTTAAACGGGGCTTGCACGGGATCGGATCGGCTTTGAGGGCGAAGCCTTCCTAACCGAGGGAGATTATAATATTTATTAGCTTGGAGAATAAGTTAGGTTTTCATCTTGAGAGCATTATATAAAGGACTTTTATGTTTTATTGTTGGGGGGTGGATTTTGGATAAAACATGAATTGATATCGTGTTTATTTATTTTTTAGATTGCGATATCATTAATATCTTCTCACACATATGCTTCCTACATCAGACCATGATAATTCACATAAGATCTTGTGGATTAAATTTCTCAAAATCTTCTAAAAGATATGTGATTTTTTTTGTTTTTTTTTTTTCCGAAACGATAGATGCACTATTATAAATCAAAAGCGC